TCTGAGCAGCTGAAAACTCACAATAGACTACATGCCAAGTCAGCAACTACTACCACCAGCGTGCCATCTGAATGTGACTTCAGACTAGACTCACTGTAACATCACCACAGCAGAAATGTTAAACACTCAGAGTTGGCCCTCGTCGGTTTGGCTCAGAGAATACAGTCATGGGTCCCATTCCAGTCAAGGGCATATACCTTGGTTGCAGGGTCTTCCCTGGCCCAGGCCCTGATCAGGCACATGCAGGAGACAATCCATCGATGTATTTCTTTCACATCGATGCTTCTCTCTGTCTTTTCCTCTCTCTTCCATTTTCAGTGGAAAAATATACTCAGTGAGAATTAACAACATCAAAAAAAGCGAACCAAAACAAAAAATCCCTATGAATTCTATTTGACCTATTGACACAATGCAAATTTTAACACAAATCAAAAGTCAATTAAATCTAGTGATTATACTGAGAAAATCACTGAGAATAAAAGAAAAAAGAAAATCACAGGCAAAAAAGACACTTTCTCTAGGTACCGCCTCAGTATTTCTTCTAAAATACTATAAAGATGTGTTTACAGAAACAAACAGGAAACATAGCTCTGTGTTTGCCTTCACTGAAGTGACTGCATAATCATTCTGACCACAAGGACTGAAGCCATGGCTGCCACCCCGAGAGCATAGAGCCTGTTACCACAGTTCTTCCTGGCGCTGAGACAGCGGCAGAGTCGCACGCATCTCCAGGACATACACTGTCTACATTGCAGTGACTGATGGCTCACAAGTAATTTGGCTCATTCTATTCATTTTTGGTAGAAAAATCAAGCACATGTTGCAATAAAGTGATGTGTGATGCCTTAAGATGTGCTGTATTTACAAGAAAATTATAGGCAAATTATATCAACCACTCTTATCCCTAAAACACTACCTTTAAAAGTCCAAGTTTTGACAATGGAACAAAAGAGACAACTCCCAAAGAACATGCCCATCTGCCCACCTTAACTGTAAAGCTTAACTCCTTAAAATCTGCCCTCTAAAATACCACATGACCTCACTCATTTATGGATAATAAAGAACATTATAAACTGATGAACCAAAAGATAGATATAGAGACAGTAAAGCAACAAGCAGACTGTCAAATTACAGCGGGGAGGAAAGGGAGATCTAGGGGAGATAATAGATCAACCGAAGGACTTGTATACATGCATATAAGTACAACCAATGGACACAAAACTCTGGGGAAGGAGGGTATGTATAGGAGGGAGGAACCAATGTTAAAATATGTACACAGATAATATTTAATTAAAAAAGGGAAAAAAATCTGCCCTCTAAAGGGAGTTTCTACCATACAACGACAATTTCACTGGAATAGGAGAGGAGAAATCTCAGTCTATAAACTGGAAGGCTTTTGAGAGGCGGTGACCTGAGCATGAATCTAGGCAACTCGGTCAAGAAAGGTGAGACAGGAGAAGGAAGGTGCATCTGATAGACCAGCGTGGGAGCAAGGAGAGAGGCGGAGCAGCACCTGGGATCAGGAGGGTGCAGTAAGGATACATGGCCATGGCAAAGCATTCAGTGACTAGAAATGAAGTTAGAGAGTTCCCAAATGCCAGTCAGGAAGCCTCTCCACATGTCTGTCAGTCAGGCAAAACATGACAAAGATAGTGAGTATTCACGTGTCATGGTGCCTGCACGTGTGTCATGGAGTCACTCAGGGAGGGTGCCTCAGCCTCAAGGCCAGCCCAGCACTCCAGCAGGACATTAGGTAAGGATGACAATGGCCTAAGCCACACTGACTACTGGGCATGTGGAATATGGCAAGAGTGACCAAGGAAGTGGGTTTGTGCTCCAATTTTAACTAAAGCGCAGTGGCCATGTTCCCAGGAGCTCCCTATACCAGCCCCGGCATGACTGGGGCTGGGGAGAGACTCGTTAGTCCTGGATGTGCAGGGTCTGAGGACAGCCGAGTAGCAGCTGAGAGGAGACTCCTCCTCAGCCCCAAGGGGGTGGAAGCCACGGGTGAGAGTCACTCAGAGAAGGAAACACTGACAGAGACAGAGGCCTGCGGAGGAGCTGCCAAGGGTCGAGGAGAACACATGAGAATGGGGGCTGTGGGGGTGACAGGTGCGAGGGGTCAGGAGAGGGAGGGCAGGAGGGCCAATGTCGTGGAGTGTGGGAATCACAGAGGAATGGCTGGATGCTGGCACTATTGGCAGCTTATGGGGCATCTCTACAAGTGAGGTGTTCAGGTGAGAAAAGGAAGACAGAGCAGTGTGAACAGGGACAGACAGTCTCCCTTTCCCCTTTCTGACCAGAAAGTAGGCTGCTGTCCCCAAGGTCTGGATCTCCCTTTCTTTTACTTAGACATGTTTATAACTATATATATATATAACTATATATATATATAACTATATATATATATATATATATATATATATATTCTTAAATTTCTTAATCCTAACCTGAGGATACTTTTCCCACTGATTATTAGAGCATGCAAGGAAGGGGGCGAGAAACTGATGAGAGAAAGACACATCGATTGGTTGCCTCCCATATGTGCCTTGACCAGGGCCCAGGATTAAGCCTGCAACAGAGGTACGTGTCCTTGACTGGAATCGAACCTGAGACCCTTGAGTCCAAGGGCCAACACTCTAACCACTGGGTCAAATCAGCAAAAGCCACTGGTTTATTTATTTATTTATTTAGTATTTTTTTTCTATAAGAGAGTGGAAGGGAGAAGAGGCAGAGAGAGAGAGAGAGAGAGAGAGAGAGAGAGAGAGAGAGAGAGAGAGAGAGAGAGAGATTGACGTGAGAGACACATTGACTGGTTGCTTCCTGCATACACCCAACCATGGCAGAGGCTTGAGCACAAAACTCTTCAATGCACACTCCAAACTCTGAGTACACTGGCCCAGGCTGTTCCATGTCTTCAAACAGCCTAACAAAAATGTGAAACAGATTAAAACTGCAAATCCCAATCCTAGAAACGGGGGATGGGAGCGAACCTGAGACATTTAAGAGTTATCAGCCTGGGAATCTACTAATCCTACTTTAAACACTTTAAAAAATATATTTTTATTGAGTTTTTAGATAGGAAGGGAGAGGGGTAGAAAGATAGAAACATCAATGTTGAGAGAGAATCATTGATCGATTGCCTCCTGCACACCCCATTGGGGATCAAGCCCACAACCCAGGCATGGGCCCTGACTGGGAATTGAACCTGGGACCTCCTGGTTCACAGGGTGATGCTCAATCACTGAGCCACGCTGGCCAGGCTAAACACCTTTTAAAAGAGTTCACCCTGGCCAGTGTGGCTCAGTTGATTGGAGTGTCATCCCAAAAACCAAGAGGTCTCAGGTTTGTTCCCAGTCAGGGCACACACCTAGGTTGCAGGTTTGGTCCCTGGTTGGGGTTCATATAAGCAGCACTGGTCGATGTTTCTCTCTCTCTCTCTCTCTCTCTCTCTCTCCCCCCCCCTCGCTCTAAAATCAATAAACATATCCTTGGGTGAAGATTTTTAAAAAGCGTTGAAAGTAGTTAAAATCTACAGCCATTAAAGTTAGCCCATTTTGCTCTTTCATGAGCTATGAAAACCTTCTAAATACTTACAGCCTACTCTAGTTAGGCCATCCATAGGTTCCTGGAGCAGTTTCTTAGAGGAAACAGGTGTTGTACTTGTAAACCAGGGCCCCACATCAGCCCACTGGGCGGAGGCTCACTCTGGACCCAGAGCCAGTCACCCCTGGACTTTGCACCACAATAAAAGCAAGTGCGGCTCAGCACCTGCCCTCAGATCTCACAGCCAGCTCTAACACAATTAGCCCCGGGAGCTAATCACCTAATCGTGGACCACAGCTGTCCTGGCGTCAGACTCCCTCTGCAGTAACCAATGCCAGCCAGCAAAGACAGCACAGCACCTAATTAGCTGGCCGCATCAGTGTTTACATGGCAACTTCTGCAGCCAATGTCCCTGCACACTCCACTCTGAACACTTTCGTCGCCACCACAGCAGCTCTTGCCACAGCAGGCGAGCACTTACAAAGGTGACATGCATCACCTGACCCCAGCCCAGGACCCAGGCAGTGCAGTCCTCCAGCAGGCCACATGGAGCCTGTCCCTCACTTCCTAGATCTGCACATATGTCTGCACTTTATTTCATTAAATAATTTTCTGATAAGCTAAGAAACTGCTAAAAATGTCCCTTAAAATAGAGGGGGAAATAGTTCAAGACTATTGTCACCATGATCTTAGCACAAGATAGCTACTTTAACTTGTATGTTTTATTCTTCTCAAAAGTTGTATTTCAAAGTTTTGAAAACCAAAATCTCAGAGTAAACTGTCAAGCGCCAGAATAAACTGATAAAAAAAAAAAAAAAAAATAGATGAAAAAGCCAAAAAAGATGTCATATATATGGTCTATAAGTGCAGGCAGGAGCCCAACTTTTAAAATGAGTGGCTAGGCCCCCCCCCCGTGTTTTCAGACACTCCTCTGTTCTGGGTGGTAATGACAGTCTCCCACTGCTCAGTGGTTGAGTGCCATCCCCTGCACCAAGAGGTCCCTGGTTCTATTCTAGGCAGGGCACAGGCCTGGGTTGTGGACTCCATCCCCAGTAGTGTGTGTAGGAGGCAGCCAACTGAAGTGATGTCTCTCTCATAGACGTTTCTCTCTCCCTTCCCTTCCTTTCTCTCAAGAATCAATAAAAATAAAAAATAAAAAATAAAAAACAGCAACACAGCAACATATTAAAATGGGTGGCTAGGACCATACTTCCCTTTCACAAGAAAGAAAAATGACCGATTTCACCTGTTAACATGTTCCAGGACACTCAGAGCCTCACAGACAAGAAAAGGACTCAAACAGCCCTCACTGGCTTAGAGAGGAGAACTGGCGTTCATTTTCCACGCAGTGCTCAGACAGCAGAAGGCCCTGGGCCACGTTCTACAGGGAAACAGCGAAGGGTCGCCCGGCTGAGGCCGAGCAGACAGGACGGGGCTGCACCAAACACACGTGCCTGACTCGGGGCACCATCATCCGCTGCTGCACCATGAGCGTGTGGCAGATGCAGGCCATCAGCGTGAAGGCCTCCTCGCTGGCCGAGTCCCTCCACACCAGGTTGAGCAGCGTGTTGGTCTGCTGCTTCGTATCCAGCTTTTTCAGACATTCCTCTGTTATGTATGGTAATGACAGTCTCCCGTCCACCTGAAACACACCCGGAAGTTACTCCACGTTAGTGATGCACCATGAGAACTCATCTCTACATGACAGAAACAGAGGAAATATCGCTTTCATTCAAGTCAAAGTACAAGGCAGGCTTTATCAAAAATTACCTAATCTCAATGAACACGCCAAGATCTCTGTCATGCATCCTTTAAAGGAATCTGAATGCCCATAGTGACATCTGTATTAGGGACCAATTTTGATCACCACAACAGCAGCAGAGGAACTGTGACTATCTAGTTTTGCCTACTGATGTGACACTATTTTCAGTATTATATTTAAAGAGAAATTCATTCGCTTGGCTTGAGTGGCACAGTATTTGAGCATCGACCTATGAACCAGGAGGTTCTGGTTCAATTCCTGGTCAGGGACTAGATTTCAAACTTGATCTCCAGTAAGGGGTGTGCAGGAGGCAGCCAATTGATTATTCTCTCATCGTTGTTTCTATCTATCCCTTTCCCTTCCTATCTCTGAAAATCAATTTAAAAAAATAGAAAAAGAATTCGTTTAATATGTTTAGATTGCACTGTACTAAGCACATATCTGTAAAAATATATTGACAGAATTTCTATTTATTTAATATAATGAAATAAAATACATAAATCTATTCTTTTATATCTTGATTTCTCTAGAATATCTGATTCACTGATGCTAATGCTCTGCATAGTTACCAAAAATTGGGGTATTAACCAAAGATGTAGACATACTTCATATACATGTATATATATAAACCTATATAAAAGTAAGCGTATAAGGGGTGACCTCAAAAATAGACACATATTGTAACAGCTAAAAGCTCAATTGATGTTTCTTTATTTTCATATTTAACCCACTGGAATGAATAATTTAAACTGTACGTGCATTTTTTGGGACATGACACCCTGTATATATAAAAGATTAGGCATCGTTAACTGTACTGTTAGGAAGCGTAGATGGATATACTAGTAATTTATAATAACCTACCTAAAACACTGTTTTAGAGATAAAAGTAATACATTCTACCTGACTCTTTAAGATGCACCTAATAAACATGCTATCCAATAGAACAAGAGTGCTGTGTCAGTGCTACTGTTCTGTGTGTGCGTTCTTCAAGCACATTCCCACAGATGAGTCACATCGCACACTGAGCTTGCGAGTGTCAGCCGTGTCGCACGAGCTGCAAGCCTGCTGCTTTGTCTGTGCGCAGTGAGGAAGGGCTCCCCACCAACACAGCCTCTTCCTCTTCCTCTTGGAGAAACAAAGTAAATAAAACGATGAGAACTTCATGGATTCTCCAGAAGGACATTAAGTATAAAAAACTGTCTTCTAAAAACAGGCCTCATGGCGGGCAGGACTCTGGCTTGTAGGCTTTATATCTTTTTCTGTCTAGGCTTCACATACACACCCTCAGGGGCTACTTCTACCCTAAGAGCAGATGGGCGAGTGAAAGACGACTTTACAGCCCGCAGCTCCGCAATGCTCACCGGTGTACTCCTCCGCTGCTCGCCCTCCGCACCCTCCTCTTCAGAGTCGCTGCCAGAGTCCTGGCAGCTGGCACTGGCAGGTGCAACGGGTAGCTGTGCAAGGAAGGCCTGCAGCACTCGCAGGTACCCCAGCAGGCCCTCCTCAGAGAGGGCCCCTTTGTGAGACAGACAGGGAGAACAGCGAATTAGAGCTGGTCCGAACCACACCAGGAAACAGCTATCAATCACCTTTCTTTCGCTCAGAGAGGCGTGGCTAACCAGAACCTGCTGAAATACTAACATCCAAGTGCAGGTGCTAGTATTAGGTCTAGTAATAATTAATGTCGTTTTCTAATACTTCTTTAAATCGAATTTATTTAAACAATACAACAAAATTTAATCAACAATATAGTTGCTGTTGTTTTCTACTACTTGTGCCCAACGCTCAGGAAGCATTTTAATCCCTCTGTTATAAAATTCTTGTGATTGTGATGCAAAAAATTCGGTCAATGCATTTTTGAGGCATTGTTCATTATTAAATTTTTTTCCAAGAAGAAAGTTTTGCAAAGAACGAAACAAATGGTAATCGGAAGGGGCAATATCAGGAGAATATGCAGGTTGAGGGAGAACTTCCCATTCCAACTGTCGCGGTTTTTCAGCAGTGATTCTTGTAGTATGCGGTCATGCGTTATCGTGGTGAAGAATTACGCCCTTCCGATGAATCAGCGCGGTTCTTTTTCTCTTAAAACTTGGGCTAACCTTTCCAATTGGGCACTATACACTGCACTTGTAATGGTTTGGTTAGATGGTAAAAGTTCATAATGAAGAATTCCTTTAAAATTCCACCAAACACACAACATCACTTTTTTCGCATGCAAGTCAGGTTTTGGCGTGGGCTGCGGAGCCTCCTTTTTGTCCAACCATTGAGGCCGCCTTTTCAAATTAACATACAGCACCCACTCTTCATCTCCGGTAACAATTTGCTCTAAAAACGGCAAACGGTTTTGATGAGAGAGGAGCGAACTGCAAATTGTGACTCTTTGATTATGGTTGTTGTCGGTCAACTCATGAGGAACCCATTTTCCAAACTTTTGGACTTTGCCAAGTGCACGCAATTGATTGGAAATTGTTTTTTGTGAACAATTTAAAGTTGTCGCAAGCTCTTGTTGGGTCATTTGAGGATTTTGCACCAAAAGAGCTTGAAGAGCTTCTTGATCAAGATTGGACACACGGCCTCGACCACTCTTGTCATCTAACGAAAAATTTCCCTCGCGGAATTTCTCAAACCAACGCTGGCATTTTCTGGCGCTAACTGCATCTTGACCAAGAGCACTACAGATTTTTTTGCAGCCTCACTGCTTTTCTTCCTAATTGGAACTCATAAAGCATGCAGTGCCGAATATGCTCTTCATCCGCCATCTTCTTAGCCCTAGTTTTGCAACAAAAACCAAACCAAACACAAACTTTTTCAAGCAAAACTTGTTAATTGCACTTCACACGTTCTGTAGATACCACGTGTTTGAAGGTTATGTCAATACAAGTCAACGCCAAGCAAGATTTTAAACGAATGTTTAAAAACGACATTAAGTATTACTAGACCCGATATTAAAACGTATTAGAGGAAGATGCTATAATCCAGAACATTACAAGTTTAGCACATGGGGAGCTTCCCCACGTGACACCAACGATCCTGGTAACCATGTGCCTTCTAAGAGTGGAACCTGCTGTGAGCGCTGTGCTGGCACTTCCCCCAGGCACTGCCCAGGGCAGTCCTGTGCCCGTGCCTTGAGCCGCCCTCTTCTGGCCCACCCTCCAGTCCTGCCCCGGAGCGCACGGGTAAAACGGAGCCGCGCTTCATACCCAGGTAATTTTCACCGATGGTCAGGACACAGTAGAAGAGCCAGGGTGCGTGCCCGGGAGCCCTGGCGCCACCGCTCTCCGCCGACAGCAGTGCGTCCAGGAAGGGCTCGAAGGGGAAGGCGGCCTGGGTGTCCGCCAGCGCGGGAATGATGAAGTGAAAGATCTGCTCTGTGAAAGGGGCTGCCAAACACTCCTCCGTGAAGGCCGAGAACACTTGCTGCCTACAAAGGGAAAATGCCCATTTTAATAAAATCATAGCACACCACTCATAAAACCCAGGGTTACACTAACCGAGAGTTAATGCCAAACCAGCCTGCCACATTCCTCACAGCTAAGCATTCTAGGTCAACCGACCACCTGGGGGACTCCACGCTGTGTCTCCCTGCTCAGGAAACACTGTCACAACTTTGCATCTCTGGCAGCTTCCAGAAAGCGGGAACATAACCAGGTCTTCAGAATGGTCAATTCATATTAGGGTCCAGGCCACACAGAAGCAGCACATTGTTCTTTCAACGGAGTCACATTAGTAAAGTAAAAATCTGACCTTCAAGTCTGTTATTCAAGATAGCACCTTGTGTTCAAGTTACTGTTAGACACAGACCTCGTGAAATCACGAAATAAAGACGATCCCGTTCTTACCTGGCGCCCTCTGGACAGGAGTTGTAAGTAAAGTGCAACGGTTTTAGGACATTCTCTAACAAAACTTCTGCTATAGGAACTCGAGATAAATCAGAATACTCAATACTTGATGGAAGCTTGCTGTTAATTAACAAATAGAGAGATCTATAATACCCTAAAAAAAAAAAAAAAAAAGAACACATATTTAAAATGTGGTACCTATTCCTATATGAGGAAAATAACATGTCAGTTTTTAAATGTTTTTTATAAAACTCTTATTAGTTCAAATTTTAGTGAATTCTTCAACATTTTATTACGGGAAACGTTATAAACAAGTACGCAAATCCCTGAAAGGATATAATCTCCATGCGTTGTTGATCGTCCAGCGTCAATGATGGTCAACCAGCCATCACCTAGCCTTCACCTTTCAGAAGCAAAAGTCCATGTGCTGCCAAAGATGAGGACTTTATTTTTCTTAAAAATACCATAATCACTGCTAAAATAAATGAACAGGAATTCCTTAATATCATAAATATCTAGCCAATATTCATAAATTTTATTTAACTAGTTTGCTTGAATCAGGATCCAAGTAAAACCCATATACTGAGATTTAAAAAACTTGTTTCTTACGCATCCTCCAAGTAACTATTTTTGTGGTTTTAAAAAATATATATTTATTTTATTGAGTCTTAAAGATGTCCCACTTTACCCTTTACCCATCTTCTAACCCCATTGTCGGTGTCCATGGGCTATGACCAATTTGTACTTCCAAATCCCTTCACCTCCTTCACCCACCTCTCCAACCCTTCAATTTGGCCACTGTCAAAATGTCCACTGTTTCCGAGTCTGTTTCTATTCTGCTTCTCTGTATATAATACATTCTTCTTCCTTTTCCTTCTCCTTCTCCAAAATACCCTTCAACATTTCATGTAATATTGGTTTGATGGTAATGACTAGTTAGTTTAGCTTTCTCTTGTCTGTGAAGCTCTTCATCTGACTTTCAATTTTAAATGACAGCTTTGCTGAGTAAAGTAAAGTTAGTTGTAAGTCCTTGCTTTTCATCACTTTGAATATTTCTTGTTACTCCCTTTTGGCCTGCAAAGTTTCTGTTGAGAAATCAGCTGATAGTCGTATGGTACTTCCTTGTAGATAATTAACTGCTGTTCTCTTGCTGCTTTTAAGATTCTCTCTTTGTCTTTAGCCCTTGGCATTTTATTTTTATTTTAAAAAAATATATATTTTATTGCTTTGTTTACAGAGGAGAAAGGAGAACATCGATTAGCTGCCTCCTGCACCCCCCCCCCCCCCACTAGGGATATGCCCACAACCAAGGTACATGCCCTTGACTGGAATCAAACCTGGGACCCTTCAGTCTTCAGGCTGGTGCTCTATCCATTGAGCCAAACCAGTTGGGCAACCCTTAGCATTTATTTTTAATGTATTTTATTGATTTTTCACAGAGAGGAAGAGAGAGGGATAGAGAGTTAGAAGCATCGATGAGAGAGAAACATCTATCAGCCACCTCCTGCATACCCGCCACTGGGGATGTGCCCGCAACCAAGGTACATGCCCTTGACGGGAATCAAACCCGGGACCTTTCAGTCCATGGGCTGACGCTCTATCCATTGAGCCAAAACGGTTTTGGCAACCCTTGGCATTTTAATTATGCAGTGTCTTGGTGTGGGCCTTTGGATTCCTTTTGTTTGGTGTTCTGTGTAAGTCTATTTCTTTCACCAGGTGGGGGAAGTTTTCTGTCATTTTTTTCAAATAGGTTTTCAATATATTGCTCTCCCTCTTCTCCTTCAGGCACCCCCATAAGGCACTTGAAGTTGTCCCAGAGGCTCCTTACACCATCTTCATATTTTTTGGATTCTTTTCTCTTTTTTCCTATTCTGATTTTTTTTCCTATTTATTTATTTATTTATTTATTAAATCTTTATTGCTCAGATTATAATTGTTTCTCCTTTTCCCCCTCATAGCTCCCTTCCACCCAGTTCCCACCGCACCCTCTGTCCTTACCTCCTTGCCCCTCCTCCCCCCCCCCCCCCCGCCATTGTCCTCATCCATAGGTGTACGCTTTTAATCCAGTCTCTTTCTGCACCCCACACCCCTTTCCCCCTGATAATTATCAATCCACTCCCTTTCTTTGCCCCTGATTCTATTATATTCACCAGTTTATTCTGTTCCTCAGATTTTTAATTCACTTGATCTTCCTCTTCTTAAATAATACCTTTCAGCATTTCATATAATACTGGTTTGGTGGTGATGAACTCCTTTAACTTTTTCTTATCTGTGAAGCTCTTTATCTGCCCTTCAATTCTGAATGATAACTTTGCTGAATGATAACTTTGCTGGATCTTGGTTGTATGTTCATCACTTTGAATATTTCTTGCCACTTCCTTCTGGCCTACATAGTTTCTGTTGAGAAATCTGCAGACATTCGTATGGTACTTCCTTGTAGATAATTAACTGCTGTTCTCTTGCTGCTTGTAAGATCCTCTTTTTGTCTTTTGCTCTTGGCATTTTAATTATGATGTGTCTTGGTGTGGTCTTCTTTGGATTCCTCTTGTTTGGATTCTTACGCTTCCCGTACTTTTAAGTCTATTTCTTTTACCAGATGGGGGAAGTTTTCTGATATTATTTCCTCAATGAGATCTGGAATCAGCCTTTTCTCCAGAGACTTACATTCCTTTGGGAGAAAACTGTTTCTTTATGGATTGCAAAATGGGCACTGAGGAATCTGTTTAAAAGGTAACTCCATGTGAATAGAAGCAACGACTTTCACAACCTCTCTAAGCCTTTGTGGGATTTCTGGAAGTATCACCCAAATCATCTTGTCTTTTAGAAATAGGTGCCTCTTTCCTATACACTCGTGGGGTGCAGTCTGTGAACACCTCATTACTGCACAGACACACTTGGTGGTGCTATGGGAAACAGCCACTGCTTGCTTTGCCTCTGAAAACAGTCAGATGCAGATGTGTACTCAAGTCATGAACACCAAGTAATGCCCACTCAAGTGCTCTGTTGTCAGACTCCCAGTTAACCACCCTCACAGACAGTGGTGACCAGTGAAACACGACAAGGGAGCTTTGAGAGATCTTTTGCTATAAAACTAAGAAGATATAAACACAGTAAGAATTAAATACATTTATATGTCAGGTCACATTTGTGAACGTCACAACATGAACATGCACATGAACACAGCAGATTCCCTGGAGTGCGACCAGTGTCAGGTTCTACTGTGGCAATTAAAAAGCATCATGTGCAGTCACAGCACACAGGTGTGGTAACAGTATGAACTATAACAAACAGACTGCTAAGGTTTCATAGACTGTCAGGAAGGAATTTACCAAAACAGCTGCAGAAAGGCTATGGCACAAAGATGCTAGAAGCAGCAGTTTCAGTGCACGATTTTGAAGCATTTCCCATTTTTAGACACATTTCAAACTAATGCGTATTTTAGTTTTCACTATACTTTTAGAAAACAAGAAAAGTAAAAATTCTAATTGAATGCTTAGCCTTAAATCAATATACTTGATACACCCATAAAAACAATGGACCATTTCTGATTACCACTAACTTGTTTTTTAAAAGATCAAATTCCATCAATTTTAATTTACTTTTTAACCAATTCCCTAATCTTATAGCAAACTAAGGTTTTCTAAAAAAAAAAAAAAAAAAAAAAAAAAAAAAAGGACCTAAGCCAAACAGTAAGGTTGAGGTATATAAGATTTTAAATTAACTTTCACAGCTTTAACATGAGGATTAAATAAGCTAGATTTAATCTAGATTAGTCCATTACTTCAAGAAAACAAAAGCAATCTTACTTATGCTTTATCAGCAAGTACTGCTTTCCAGAACTTATGTGCATATTTCTAATGCTAACTAACACTCTGGAGTCCAAGTCCTGAAGTATGACTTTCCACCTGTGGAAACACTGGGCATCAGATTTTTAAATTGTTTTACTTAATACTGTTTAATTCATCATAAAACCTGTAAAATCATATGCATTTGATAGTCTTTCTCCAGACGATGTCACTGATGCGTCCCAGTGCCATCCTCTTCAGAGTGTCAGTGCGCAAAGCTGTCCCAGCAGGAAACCAAAGACACCACGTGTCTTCCTCTCCTCTGTGAACTAAGGCGGTGCCTCAAAGCCGCGGCTCAGTGGGACAGGTCCCGCTGGCAGACCTGCGCGTCCCAGTGCTGCTCGGCCATGGTAGGGCTGGCCACTGCACCGCAGACAGGCTGTGACCAGCATGCCCAGGAGGACAGCTGGCAGCAGAAGCACATTAACTCGTTTCATTTACAAGCGATGGGAAAACGCAAGGGAAGAGAATGAATACATTTCCAAATGCTAGGTTGGGTGGAGACAAGGGCAGATGTCGGGATGTGCGACCATGAGCACATGCTCCCTAAACTGTGCGTGCTGCTCTGGGCCATGTCCCAGGTGGTGTTCAAAGCAAGTGTGCTCTCCACACGCTAGGACAGTCAGCTGAGCCCATCACGGACTCACCAGCACTTACCATTCTGAATCATGTAGTGCAAAACTTGCTCAATTACGGACACCACATAGCTAGCATCTTGTAAAACAGGTAAGTAAGTCTTCTCAGATGAAAACACCTCAAGCATTCTCATTGGAAGCGCAACATTCAAACTGTCATCATTACAGTTTTGCAATAATCTGTAAAAAGGAAAAAAGGGATTCATTCACATACTTACTGGATGGCACACGTCGCAGTTTCCTCGCTCACTGCTGTTCACTCTGCTCTCCTGTAATGTCTTTGGAAGGGGCCGACTCAGACAGACAGGAAAATAAGCAAATTTTCTGTCATTCAGACTTTTTTGGGTCCTTATTACGTGCCAAATAGCATGTGGGCAGTGGGCTTATAGAGATGACAAGTGCGCAACCACCAAGAAATAGGCGGGGAGAGCGTGGACCACGGACTGCAGCTAGTGCAACCCAGCGAGGGCCTCTTCTCTTTAAAGGTGCCTGTCACCTCCTTCAACGACGTCAAGACTTTCCATCCTTGCAATATCCCTTCTGCAGAACAGTTAACATATATTTCTGGCCCTAAGTTATCTATTATTTTGATTAAAGAGAATTACATGAAAATTATAGGCAGAAGGGAAGGCTTAGCTGTTACATAATTCCCCCAAAGTAACTTGTGACCCCTCCCATTTACCCTTTGCTCTAACTCCCATCCCAACCATCTTTGCCCATAGACAGAGATTAGTGTGCATTTTCTACTATTTTATAGAAGAGACTGTACAGTGGATGTCTAGGTTTTTTTCTGAGATTCATTTGATGTGTCAAAAACTTTGACCACCTTCTGGTGAGTGCCCACTGCACAGATCACCACCTGTGGCACCTGCTCACATGCTGGCGGGCACCGGGGCCATCCAGCCTCTTGCTGCTGTACATGAAGCTGCTGTGGATACACAAGGACAAACCTCCCCAAGTGTGATTCCAGGGCTCTGCAGTATTCACCAATCCTCCCTTTTCCTCCTCAACACCTCTCATTAGTTAGCGTTCACCTTATCTGTACAAAGACACTCCTGTTTTACTTACTGATGTTGCTCAGTCTCCACCATGAGCTCCAGCACCAGGAGAACATCGCCCTCCTCTGCCTGTCAAGCCCTGTGCTGTGGACTGGGCCCAGCACGCAACAGGGACCATGAAGTTCTGTAATAAGTGTAGAACTTGAAGCTAACCCAAGGGTTGTGCCTAATGGAGGCCCACTTAAGAAGAGATGCAAGTAATGTCAACATTCACTAGCTTCTAAAAAATTACCCTTACTTTCTTTTCTTTTTTTTTAATATATTTTTACTAGAGGCCCGGTGCACAAAATTCGTGTGCTGGGATAGTGGGGGGGTAAGGGTGTCCCTCAACCCAACCTGCACCCTCTCCAATCTGGGACTCCTCAGGGGATGTTCGACTGCCTAAACAGGCAGTCAGACATCCCTTTCACAATCCAGGGATTGCTGGCTCCCAACTGCTCACCTGCCTGCCTGATTGCCCCTAACCACTTCTGCCTGCCAGCCTAATAACCCCCTAACCACTCCCTTGCCAGCCTGATTGATGTCTAACTGTTCCCCTGCTGGCCTAATAGTCTCCAACTGCCCTCCCCTGACAGCCTGGTCACCTCAAATGCCCTCCCCTGCATATTCCCTCTTTATTAGATAGGGTTTTTTCTTTTGACATATTGGACAGTGTACCTGCCATGGTCTTGACAAACCAGTAAAAATGCAAACCCAAACTAAAAATGTCATAAAATAAACTCAAACAGGAATTTCATGAGAACTTGGAAAAGTGGTATCATGTGGTTGTTTACTTTTTTTCCTTCTCTTTCCTTTTCTTGATATTTACTTCTTTTCTCCTTTTATTCCTTTTCTATCTCTAATCACTCTGCTGGAGCAAGGGAAATTCCAAGACTATATGTGTGTGTGTGGAGGGGGGGGGGGTGATCACTCCATGGGGGCGCAGGCCCTTTGGAGGCTGACATCCCAGGCTGCTCCAGGGAAGGGATAGCTCTTGGGGGCTCAGCTGCCTCCCAGGCCTACACTCCCCGGGAGGGTGGGGAGGGTGGGGATAGGCGGTTGCAGGCGGCTCCCAGGCCCATAGCCCAGGCGGAGGCGAGAAGCAGATTGCACATGGGGTGTGGGGGTAGGAGACAGGGAGGGGTGGGGGGAAGGGCGCAGCCATCTTCCAGGCCTATGGCCCAGGTTGCAGCTGGGTGCTGATCACGCCAGGGTTCATGGCTGATCTCATGGGGATGGGGGTGGGGTGGGGGTGGGGGTGAGTGGGTTCGCTGCCTCCCAGGCCACTGCCCGGGTCCTGGCTAGGAGCTGATCACACCTGGGGTGTGCGGCCACCTCCCTGGCCACTGCATGGGTGCTGGCTGGGAGCTGATCGCGGCTGGGGTGTGTGGCCGCTTCCGAGGCCACTGCCTAGGTCAAAGCTGGGAGCTGATGGCGCCGGGGGTGCAAAGGCGCCTCCTAGGCCAACAGCTGGGGCCTCATGCTGCCTGCTCTCAGTGGCAGCCCTCCCTGGGCCTGAGAGGACTGGGCGCTGCCATCTTGTGTCTATGGGCACCGCCATTTTTGTCATGGAGTGATGGTTAATTTGCATATTACTCTTTTATTAGATAGGATTGATTTCAGAGAGGAAGGGAGAGGGAGAGAGAAACATCAGTGATGAGAGAGAATCACCAATTGGCCGTCTCCCCATGTCCCCACCGGGGATCGAGCCCACAAACCAGACATACACTCTGACTGGAATCAAACCGTGACCTCCTGGTTCACAAGTCAACACTGAGCCATGCCTGTTGGGTAAATTATCTTTACTTTCAAAATCGATTTGTAGGTAGCAGGTATTTACACTGTCAGTGTTCAATAGAGCACACCCAGACAGTGTATACTCGATGAGCTGTGCTGATGGCAGCAACAACCCTGTCCTGAGAGGTGCAGAGATGGATGCTACCTCCCATGGCAACACCTGCAACAGGCAATGTTCAAGGAGAGGAAAAGGGCACTTAAGGACTGAGGTGACCACACACCACTGCCTTAGAGGGTTAGCCACCAGTCCCACCAGCCAGCAGAGAACTAACTATTGGATCTGAAGGACTCGTCTTATCCAAAACCCCTCAGTTTATGAGCAAGGAGAATGAGACCCAGTGACTCCATCAGCCTGGCTCTGCACCGCCCCAACACTGCACCGCCCCACGTCCCACTTATCCTAAAGTTACACAGCGTCTGCTTCCATGCTATCCATTCCTTCCTTATCTTACACACGTCCTCTTTCAACACAAAACTCTATTTTTCTAGCTCTTACAAAGTAAGCCTAATCTCCTGCAGGTGGGGAGACCTTCAGAGCAGAAGCAAGCCACACCTTTTCTCTGGAACTTCCAGAGCACCGAAATCCAATGTCCGCGCGGCCGGTGAAACTGCTGGCTGTAATTTTATGCACCTGGAATAAACAGCTAACGCAGTGCCTTCTGATTTCCTCTTATTAAAGCTTCATGGTTCCGTACAGGAAACAGTCCCTGCCCAGGCTTCCCTGGGAAGGAAAAGTTGAGCCTAGGACACTGTGGCCACAGAGAGCAGAGACTCTCTCAAAACACGCCTGGGGCGTGTTGAGGGACACAGGCACTCCTCACTGGGCTCCCTCTACCTCATGTGACCATCACAAGGAATAGCTGACTACCACACACCGTTTTTAAAGTACAGGAGGCCTTACTGAGACTAAAGAGGAGAGACACAAATGATGCCAACCAACACTCCCTGATGGAACTGAGGAAAAAATACCGGCATTTTACCAACCACGAACGTTACCACGGTTCAGGTACAGAGCATCACCAAATGCCAAACCTGCGGGGTGAATGGTGATGCTGACGTGAGGCCAATCCCTACCCGGGGCTCCAACGGACAGGAGCTGCTTCTCCCTCCGCAGCCGCATCGATCCCGGGAGTCTCACCAGGTGTCTTCAGTGTGGCCATTAGGACGCACACCACCTGCCATGACACCTGTTAACCCTTCACACTGAATACAGCATTGACTCTCACCAGGGCACCACTTGGCAGTGCCCCCGCCATCTACTGGGCACCTCAGAGACGACCAGCCTAGAAGTCATGGGACAGGCGGAGAGCCCGGCCCTGGACCAGACTGCCACAGCAGGACACAGGAGAGTGGCTGATGGAATGGCCTAGAACCACGGGAACAAACAGAACAGGTATTTTTGAGATAACTGAGGAAACACGGACTGTGTTATGGGACATCAGAGAATTACTATGAGTTACCACAGAGGTGAGAATAACATTATGGTTACAGGAAGAACGTGTTACTTTTAGGAGATACAGGTGAACTGGGTGAGGTACCATGCCATCTGCAATGTGCTTTCAAATGCTTTGGAAAAACAACACACATATGCAAATGTGGTAAAATGTTAACCTGAAAATCTAGAAGGATATAAAGATATTAGAGGCTGGGTACATGACAGTTTGCACTGGTGGAGGGAGGGGGGGGAGGGTCTCAGCCCAACCTTTCCTAATCCAGGACCCCCAAGGAGTCCTTAGCATTGTTGCAGAAATGGGAGAGCTTCCCGCTATTGCTGATGCACTTGCCAACTGTGAGCCTGGCTTCTAGCTGTGCAGCACTCCCCTGTGGGAGTGTACTGACTACCAGGGAACAGCTCCTGTGTTAAGCGTCTGCCACTTGGTGGTCAGTGCACATCATAGCAAGTGGTCCCTCCCACCGTTTGATAAATTTACTATATAAGATTCTTTCAACTACTGTGGTGTTAGAAATTTTTCAAAACAAAAAGTTGGGAAAAAAGGAGAAGTTATATTTTGATACATCATCTATTAAAATTACTTGCTAATTGAGTATCTTTCAAAAGCATGTTAGGCCCTGGCTGGTTTGCCTCAGTGGCTGGATGTTGGCCCGTGGGTTCAGTCAGGTATGGCATATTTTCAAACTTCTTGTGGCACAACAACTGAAAATCGCTGCTCTATATAGAGTATGGTGTACATAATGTATTTTTCAAAATAAAAGTTTTTATTTTAATTATTTTTTTTAATATATTTTATTGATTTTTCACAGAGAGGAAGAGAGAGGGATACAGAGTTAGAAACATCGATGAGAGAGAATCATCGATCAGCTGCCTCTTGCACAGCCCCTACCGGTGTGCAAGGCCGACGCTCTATCCACTGAGCCAAACCGGTCCCGGCACAAAGTAAAAGTTTTTAAAAACTACAAGGCATTAGGGGGGAAAAGTAAATTCTTGGGATTTGTAGTCCTCTGGGCTCTCTCTCTTCTATCAGGTTCTCTACTTTTTGCATCAGCTAAATATTTTGGACCTTGAGAGCTTGTTTGGAGGTTCTAGCAGGGGAGCACAGCTACTGGTATACCCTTGACAGAAGACCAGTCCTCTCCTCTTGGGAGAAAGTCGTCCTCTTCGACCGAGCGCGCAGCTTCGGGAGGGACGCACATGGATCGGTGAGGGAGGAGGGGGACACCCGCCTAGCCAGCCAGATCAGCCAAATCAACCCTGGCGATCAATGGGGTGACAAATGTCGCAGCCAGATCGCCCTCACATCCTCAGCTAAATATTTTTGGAAAGTATGTTAATAAGGCCTAGTTCTGAGAGGTACCCTAAACCAGCGTTTTTCAACCGCTGTTCCGCGGCACACTAGAGATGTTGCCTGGTGTGCCGTTAGGTGCAGACAAGACAAGAATTTTATAATTTTTCACTATTTTATTTACTTAATATTTCATAATAAAGTAATTATAAAATACTTTGTGTTTATTTGATTCCTATTCAAGAGAATTACTTTATATATAGTCAATATAGGCACAGAGTTAAATTTTTTGACATTTTCTAATGGTGGTGTGCCTCGTGATTTTTTTCATGAAACAAGTGTGCCTTTGCCCAAAAAAGGTTGAAAAACACTGCCCTAAACAAGCTTTTCTTTTTCTTTTTAAAAAAAATTTTTTTATTTACTTTTTACAGAGAGGAAGAGAGAGGGATAGAGAGTTAGAAACATCAATGAGAGAGAATCATCGATCAGCTGCTTCTTGCACACCCCATACTGGGGATATGCCCGCAACCAAGGTACATGCCCTTGACCGGAATTGAACCTGGGAGTCCGCAGGCCAATGCTCTATCCACTGAGCCAAACCGGTTTTGGCCTAAACAAGCTTTTCTAATGCAGCCTCTAAAAAATTAAATGAAATTGTATCCAGGCTCAGAATCATTTAAAACTTCTGCTACTGCACAGACACAGCAATTGTATAAAGATGGTGAAAATACTAACTTACTCTTTCAATTACGTACTAACAGTTCACATCACTTAAATGTGTGATTTTGTAGACTGAATCCAAGCAAGTCATAGAAGCAGCATACTTCAGGTTCATGCATAAGTCACACGGGAGCCTGGCGAAAGGTTGGCTTCAAAGGCAGAGGCCCTGGGAGAGCAGAACTGTTCTCACAGCAGGAGGCTTTGCTATTGGCCAATCCATCCCCTAGTAACCAGGTGTGGGAACAACGCCAGATGCCAGATACTTAGTTTAAGGCCTTGTTACAGTACGGTGAATGGCCAAGGCCACTCAGAACAAAGGGAACTGAAGGAGAATGTTCAAGTCTAAGATACCACATGCAGGCACAAGGCCACAGCGATCTCACAGTACATTGTGCCCTTCTATTATCCAAATGACTGATGTAACTACTAGAATGAGGCCTCTTTTGTCTAAGTAGTACGGTATTAAAGTACTAGAGGCCCGGTGCATGGATTCCTGCACATTGAAAGGAAATTAATTAGAAGAAATATTTTAATATCGCTATTCATCCTTCCTCTATAAAAGTATCAACCAAATTCACAATTGACAATAATAGATCGAAACACGTGTGTAACTGGTGCCAGTGAGAGCTTTATATGTATCGTGCATGAATGAGTCAACTTAGCCTTTTATAGATATAGAATAAACTTGCTTAATTAGACCTGCTTTCTGATTTAAACTTTTCCAGCCCAGTGAAGTACCCCAACTTCTCTTTCAGATAATTGTTAGCGACACAGCAGTAAATATCAACATGAAGCAGATTATTATTACAGATCACACAGGGAGAATAAAGACTAAAATATTTAATTGCAGCAGTGTTTGACTATATTCAGTGTTTGACTATATGAGAAAAATCTGAATATTCAAGGTCCATCATTTCTTCCTTTCAGTTGGCTCATGTTTCTAAACGTTCTAAATCTTCATTTTTCAGCTAATTAAAAGAAAACAGGATTCCACTGAGTCTCCTATCTACCTACTCCAGTACTTCTGTGAGGATCAAATGAGATGAGACATGGGAAAATGCTTCACAGACATTTGGTTAAAGCGTGAAATGTTTGCACCTGGCTATAAAGCAAGTTGTGCTTCAGAGATGAAGAAACTACAAAGAGGCTAGTCGTAGCTAGGTGCTGTCTATTGTTAAACTAGAGGCCCAGTGCACAAAATTTGTGCACGGTGTGTGTGTCCCTCGCAGCCCAGCCTGCACTCTCCAATCTGGGACCCCTCAAGGGATGTCCAACTGCCCACCGGGATTGGGCCTAAACGGGCAGTTGGACCTCTCACAATCCAGGACTGCTGCCTCCCAACTGCTCGCCTGCCTGCCTACCTGATTGTCCCTAACTGCTTCTGCCTGCCAGCCTGATCACCCCCTAACCACTCCCCTGCCAGCCTGACTGACACCTAACTGCTCCCCTGTAACCTGTTTGCCCCTAACTGCCCTCCCCTGCAGGCCTAGTTGCTCCCAACTGCCCTACTTCCCTCCTGCCCTTCCCTGCTGGCCATCTTGTGTCCACATGGGGGCAGTCTACTTTGACCACATGGGCGTGGCCATCTTGTGTGTTGGAATGATGGTCAATTTGCATATTACCTCTTTATTATATAAGATGGCCTGTTGCTAGGGAGAGGAAGCCAGGTGTTGCGTGACATCATTACCTGGCACCCACAGTAACCATTTCCAGGCTGGACTGTGGGCCACATTTTGCACCATGGGGTCTGGGCAGTGTTGGCTGTGATTTGGTAGGCTGATGCTTCGGTGTGGTGGTGGGGCCCGTGTCCCACTTGGGGGAAGCTGAGTGTTGCTTTGTGGGTGCCAGGACCATGGTGTCATTTCTCTGTGTGCGTCACAGCAGATCATGCGTTGAGCTTCTGCCCCCTGGTGGTCAGTGCACATCACAGTGACCACTCAGACAGACACTTAGCATATTAGCCTTTTATGTATAGATATTACTAGGGCTAGAGAGCGCAAACGAGGCAGAAGAGGCGGAGAGCTGGTACTGCTAGGATGAAAGGCTCAGAACTCAGAGAGCTCAGATATGGCTACCATGTAAAGCTAGTATGCTAGAGAGAAGAGAGGGGCTGGGGAAGACAGGAGAGGCTACTGAGGCCAGAGAGCTCAGGTGCCACTCTGATGCGAGGCAATGAGTCTAAGGTCAGATAGCAGCCACAGGCACAGAGGCTAAACATGCTGCCTCTGTGGGGAAGATGCATTTGTTCACCAGCAGGTTGTGGCCACCTGTGTGGGATACTGTTTTGTATGATGGCTACATGGCCACTGGCTTCTGTAATAAAGGCTTTCTTATATATACCCACAACTTCTCATGACTTCTCAATCTGGCATCCAAGAGGTCCAGTCCCTGGCAGAGGGGCTCAGGCCAGACAGCTAGTGCAATGGGCAGGTTCGAGAAGGAACCTGCCCCTACAGTTGGTGTAGTTGACAGAATTCAGAACAATATATGGGCTCAGAGCAGCAGTGCTCTAGCTGTTTCCGACACCAGGCCTCGGCTGGGCCACACAGTTATCCCAGGGCACACATGAAAGAAAATATCCCCTGGGTGGTACTGAGACAGACATTTTAATGTCCACAGGCCACGTTCACCAGGATTAAACATTATGAGACACAGAACACTCTGTAGTATCAAAGACAAACGACAAAACCACGGTTGCAGGTACCCATCCAGACATTAAATGTGATCAGTACATTTACACACACTGCTGACGATGATGAGATTTACCTGCAACAGAGGCTCATCAACCTCTTTATCTGAAATAAGCATGTAAGTCTGTCGGATCCATCCAACTGCTGGACAAACAGAGAGCTGTGCTTAATTAGGTTCTGGCACATCCATATCTGGAACAGCAAAACACAGAGATTACAAATCTCAATCCACAGAGCTAGTTGTTACAAAACACCAATATTTCAGGTCCCCTCTGCGGGTAAACAGACATGTAACCAACACTCATTGATCAGGCATGGTGAGAAGTGACTCCTCCGGGTCAGGTTTTATTGAGCAGTACACACACGCTGTCGATTGTCCCTTAAAGTGGCACTCCGGCAGTAAGCTAAACTACTACATCTATTACTAAAAGAAAGAACACTTAAAACTCATGTAAATCTGAAATAGAAACAGTTCATTTGAAAAATGAGCAATCCATAATAAAAATAGAGCCAAAACCGGTTTGGCTCAGTGGATAGAGCGTCAGCCTGCGGACTGAAAGGTCCCAGGTTCGATTCCGGTCAAGGGCATGTACCTTGGTTGCAGGCACATCCCCAGTAGGAGGTGTGCAAGAGGCAGCTGATCGATGATTCTCTTTCATCATCGATGTTTCTAACTCTCTATCCCTCTCTCTTCCTCTTTGTAAAAAATCAATAAAATATATTTAAAAAAAAAAAATAGAGGAGAACCCAATGATGAGACTAGTCATACAGGTATGTTTCTGCTGCCCTTCCCATGCTCCAGCACCCTCTCCTGCTGGTGCGCCATGCAGCTGGCAGGACAGGCACTCAGGCCCACTGCTCCCAGCAGGTGCTCAGGTGTGACTCTGAGGTGATGGGTGCGTTGTTCCTCAACTAGGTGGCAGGAACCTTTCAGTGTTTATGTACGCAGAATCACCACAGTGTGCACTTTAAAGATCCCACACTTTTGTTTGTCAGTTGTACTTCAATGCAGCTGGAGGAAAAGTCAGGATCCCAGCATCATCTCAGTGCACTCAGCAAGTATCAGATAGATCTCTGACTCGCATCCTGTTGTATAGATGCAGCTGCCACAAATGATTCTGAAAACTCAATACCTAACGAGAAATTGCTTCTACTTTACTATGGCCAGATTATTTTGTGTTCAGAGAACATAATATATACACTCAGAGTGTGTGTGTGTGTGTGTGTGTGTACACACACACACACACACACATACATTTTAGAGGTTTTGTGCATAAATTCGTGCATGCACAGGATCTGGCCAGCCTGGCTAGGAGGAGTGAACATGGGCAGTTGGCTGGCCTGCCTGCTGGTCGAACTCCTGGTCCAGGGGACACTTTGAATATTAGTCTTCTATTATATAGAATAGACACTGAGTGGCTAGATTATTATATGTTCAGAGATCATCATAATCTGGTCATTCAGTGTATTTGTAACAGAGATCACAGGCAAGTCACTGAAATGAACAAAGGGAGGAGGTGAGGATGGGGAGCAACATGCCTAGTCCTGCACAGAATGCCCAAGACACGCACTGAAAGTGGCATCACGCTTCTCCAGTGGAAGTCAGGAAATTTGAAGATTGGCCAGGAGACTTCGCCACGTGTGACTGATTTACTGTGCTTATATTTTTGTGTGCAAACTGAATGTCGAGTTCATCTTGTCACATTAAGCAGGTTTGACGGCATTTAATTCTACTGAGATTCAGACTCTGCACAGGAGGCCTCGTATTTGCTGAAGGCCTGGAGTCAGCATGCACACCTCCTGCCCAGCTATCCGGTTGTGCCTGCTTCACCTGGGGAACCCCCAGGAGAGCAACCAGACTTTGTACCTGGAGGCGGCAGGAGTAATTCCTAAGGGAAGGGTGCTTGGAGACAACCAGCTGACAGCCCCTGGCACCGCCTGCCAGCTCATGGAGATCTTCCCTCTACAAGACCAGAGTACAGGGAACCAGGACGACCTGCTGTGGTACTTTCCTGATGCTGCTTCCTATAAACTTCAGAGACGTCTGGAAGGGCTGGCACACAGCAAGTCCAAAGCGGGGGAGAGGGGGAGTCACTGGCACTGCCCCCTAGACCGGCTCTAGTTTATGGCCTGTTCTTCCCACAGCTCGCTCAGGAAGCAGTGCTGGGACCTGCAGCCAAATGCCGGCCAAGCAGGACGGTATGCCTTTGTCCTCTGCACTGACTGTTCACTATGAATCCCTATATACTCCCACCATCAACTCATCCTGCACCTCATCACTGAGAACAGCAGGGTGGCCCAGTTATCCAATTACATTTTGGATGTTTTAAGAGAGAGACCCTATAATTTGGGATTCAGACTAAAGAACTTATAGATAACAGGCTATGATATTCACGATTCCCTTCACAGTGATCGAAGGCACAGGTGTGGAGGGTTCTGTGTGAAACCAGGTGTCGATGACTGTCATGGGTATATGGTGGATGGCTCCACACACTATTCTACTTTTCCTTATATTTGAAATTTTCCATATTGAAAATTTACATCGATCTTTAAGAGCTAAAACACCACCACAAAGGCAACTTATTCCCATTGAGGAAAAGTTCATGAAGATGAGACAGTGGAGGATTATCTGACGTTTTAGAAAACTGGAGATTATATAAAACCAGATTAGTGAAAACACAGTTAATACTCACCAAACGTTTTGAGTCTTCATTCTGTTTGTAAAAAAACAGAAGCTGCCTCACCAAAACCGTCAGGTTGGGACCATTGGCAATGGAAAGCGTGCCCCCAGCCTGGGGTGAGTTAGCACAGTGGTCAAAAGCAGTTCTTTGAATGGCGTACTGAAACAGAACAGCGCACAGTCAGCACACAGGACGGGGAAACAGGCAATGACCGTGCTGTTGCCATGGAGTTATGGGTGAAATAAAACTCAAACACTTGGAATGGAATAGAAGACAGTCTTCCACCATTTCCTCCTCTTTAGATCTTCACCTGTGGTTTGGCATGTTTGTATTTTACTATTTTAAAAAAACTCACCTACCTATAGATCTTTAGGTAAATATAAACTAATAAAAAAACTAGTTACTAGGGGAAATACTATTATCAACATTAACTTTCAAAACAGGCATACAGAAGTACAGAGATCACATCCAGGAACCCAAGGTCATTATTTAAAATGAGAGGCCTGGAGGGTGAAATTTGTGCGGGTAAAGAGGGGAGGTGTCTCTCAGCCCAGCCTGTGCCCTCTGGCAATCCGGGACCCCTTGGGTAGATCCCTAGGACTGGCCAGCAATCAGAGCCTATTGGGGCTTTCCTTCCCCTGGCTGGTGGCAGCTGGCCCCACCCCCCACCTCCTGACACTGGTTGCCTCCCTCTGCAAGATGATCATGGGGCAATGGCAGGGCAGATCACTCACCTGTAGAGGGAGACCTTGCCCACCCACTGCAGCATCACCTGCCAGATAGCCTGGGCCTCACTCTTTGGGACAATGGATTGGGGGGCTCCGCCATCGATAGCCCAGCAGAGGGAGGCCCCACTCACCTGATTACCCCACTGACCTGGGCCTCCCTCTCTGAGATGATCGTAGGGCAATGGATGGCAGGGTCCCCTTACCAATGGCATCACACCCGCCTTGGCTGGCCTGGCCCCAGTGTGTGTCAGTGTGTCATCCAAATGGTCATTTTTCTGTTTGGCCGTACAGTCAATGTGCATATTACACTTTTATTAGTATAGATAAGCACTCCAGTGCCTTCTGACAGTTCTCAGTTTATAAACACTTACTTGCTGTTTTCTATCTCGATAGCCTCGAATAAATGACTGAATAATTATTGCATTTTTCAATCTTCGCCTTTCTTCCTGAATAAAGGAGGAAGGTGGGAACAAGCAGTCAGAGTCAGTGAAAATAACATTTAGTTAGTAAAGCCTTAAACATTACAGTTATATAATTCACATACCACAAAATTCACTTTTAAACTGTACTATCACCAATTTTTAATATATTCAAATTTGTGCAACCATCTATCTAATTTTAGAACACTTTCATCACCTGCTCCCAAAAGCCATGTACCCATTAGCAGTCACCCCCATTTCCTCCCCTGCTTCCCCTATTGCCATGCCTGTGGCAACCACTTGAATTTTTGCCTGTATGAAATTACCTGCTCTGGCTACTTCCTATATTGGAATCACAGAATATGTGGCTTTTAAAAATATGTATATTTTTATTGATTTCAGAGAGAGGAAGGAAGAGGGAGAGAGAGAGAGAAAGAAACATCAATGAGAATCATTCATCGGTGCCTCCTGCACACCCCCTACTGGGGACTGAACTGCAACCTGGGCACGTGCCCTGACCAAGATTCGAACTGGTGCCCAACTGAGCCACACTGGTCGGGCTCTGGCTTTTTCACTTGGCATGAAGTGTGTTTGTTCGTTCGAAAATAATTTTTGTTATTTATTTTTTTAGAGGAAGCATGGAAGAGACAGAGAAACATCCAGTGAAGAGAGACACATGGATTCTATGCCTCCCACATACTCCCCAACCAGGGCCGGGAAACAGAGCCTGCAACCCAGGTTTGTGCCTTTGATGGGAACCGAACCTGGGACGCTTTAGTAAATGGGATGACACTCTATCCACTGAGCCAAACCAGCTAGGGCTGGTATTACGTTTTTTAAGGCTCACACACATTGTATCACATATTAGTCTTTTTTATGGCTGATCAATAGCCATTGTATGGCTGCCTCAAGTTGAGTTTATCAGCCAATGGACATGTGTGCATCCACTTTGAACATTCATGAACAAGTTTTTGCGTGGACAAAGAGTTTTCATTTTTATTGGGTAAATACAGGAGTGAAATTAATACCCGAGGAACTTCAGACTGTTTTGCAAAATGGCTACACTACTTTACAATCACACCAGAATAGTGAGACTTTTTTTAGGTTTTTGTTTTAAATATTAAAAGAATACAGACCTATTTTAAGGGTCACATCCTTGTTTCAAAGCAGAAAATTCCAATTTTTATTGACTTAAGACTGTCGTCAGTGACCTAGCAAAATAATGTGTTCTTCGTCATTAAAACATTGCAGGTACCACTTCTGACAGCCTCTGTGTGCCAGCCCTAAGGAAGACCCTTCACATGCACCTTGTACAATAACCTTCCAGGTGAAAATTTCTCTTGTAATAATAAGAGGGTCAGGAGTCAAACACAGGCTGACTCTAAACTGGGTACTCCGTCTCCCATGTGGCACTGCTTCCTGCCTTTTAGGAATGTTGCCTAATCCACAGACTGCCCTTTTGTCCATCTTTTCTACATTGATATCAGAATAAATGCTTTACTGTAAAATCCAACAAATCCAGAAATGTTTTTAAAGCTCAATATATATACGTAAATATACATATATTCCATCACACTGAACAAATACATATCTATTTATAAAACCGTAAAACCCAGAATTTAAAAATGCTTATTTATAGACTATTAAAAAACTGTTTTTACCTCTCTCTTTCTTCTTTCTTCCTGAGTACGATGTAAAAGAGAAGCCTTTTCTTCCTAAACATAAAGAGAAAAATTATAGAATGTTTTGACCCAAAAAGGATTCTAAAGATCATCCAATCAACCAACAGACTTAGTGGGAAATCTGAGGCACAAGAGGTTAAGTGGTTTTCAGAGGTCACAGATCTAATTAAAGTAGTTCAGTAGTTTTCTAAGAATAAAATCTGACTCTTCACACACAAAGTGAGTTCAAGTGAAACAGGAGATATGAATGAGATTGGTACATTGTATCAATGCCAACAACCTGCTTGTGACAATGACTACTTTTGCAAAATATAGCCCCCAGGGGAAATGAGGCAAAGTCAACGAGGGATCTTCCTATATTACTTCTAACAGCTACACAGACATCTACAATTATATTAAATTTCAATGGAAAATCAATTTCTTTATAGTTATCAAATTAAAATTTTTAAATGTTTTTTCATCATAAATAAAACTGCATTTTGAACAAAGTTACTCGGTACATAGAAAAGACTAAATAATAAGTGGGACAATTAAACATTTCAAGTAGAAGAAAAATACCCACCCACCTAGCCAGTGTGGCTCAGTTGAGAGTCAATATATGAACCAGGAGATTAAAAATGGGGGCACAGCCGAAGCCGGTTTGGCTCAGTGATAGAGCATCAGTCTGCAGACTGAAAAGGTCCCGGGTTCGATTCCGGTCAGGGGCATGTACATTGATTGCGGGCACATCCCCGGTAGGGGTTGTGCAAGAGACAGCTGGTCGATGTTTCTCTCTCATCGACGTTTCTAGCTCTCTCTCTCTCTCCCTTCCTCCTCTCTGTGAAATATCAATAAAATATATTTTTTAAAAATGGGGGCAAAGTAAAGTGGATGCTGCACGGACATGCTCCCAGAAACAAACTATAATCACAACTAAAATACAGAAAAATTTCCTGAATAGTCAATGGAAAACTGACAGGAAATAACCCCGATATTGGAGGACCAAAAGCAGAGACAGCATAGAGACTGGTAGGAGAGGCGGAGGCAAGAAAGGGCTGGCTGTGTCAGCACCCACAGCTGGCAACTGAAGACTCAGAGAGATATCTCAGCTGTGGGGAGGAGCCACTGAGAACTCTGGGATCTAATCCCCAAGCTGGGCCCCCCCCCCGCAGAGAGCACTACAAATGAGAAGGGCACCCACATAACATCTGGCTGTGAAAAGCAGAGGGCTGCAGTCTGCCAGGGAGTGATGGCTGGAAATTCAGGCACCCTCTTAAAGGACCAATGTACGAAATTCCCTGTGGAGCCATCCACCTTGTGCTCCAACAGAGGGAGAGTGGAGTGGACTGGAGCTATATGTGCAGAAGCCAGGATTGGGGACTGGGAGGTTAGAACTCAGAAGGCAAAAAAAAGTTTCCTATGCTGAGTCATTCCCTCACCCAGGGGAGAACATCTAACCCACACAGACATCTTGCCTTATCTGGGGGTAAGACAGTTGACACACCCTATTAGAAAACACCTTGCTCTGAGGCCATTTAAAAAGACTAAAAATAATAATAGCCTCCAGGCAGAAGCAAGTGCCCCATCCAGTTAAAAAACAAAACAAAAAACTCTCACGACATCTGAGGATGATTGCCTGAGAGCAATTTCAAGTTGGAATCCTATCAGTCTGTGGACAGAGGTGGTCTCTTAAGACTTTGAGTCTTTGCCTGATCTAATTAGCCAGGAGCAGCATTTGACACTGTCCTGCACTAGAGTTTGAGAGGCATAGAGGATCTACCTAATACAAAGCAGTCACAAACCCAAACAGGCAACCAAAATGAGGAGACAAAGAACCCCCAAATGAAAAAACAAGAACATTCTCCATTAGAAGAGATAAATGAAGCAGAGGTAAGTAATTTATCTGAAGCAAAGTTCAGAGTAATGATGGTAAAGATGCTCAACAACATGAAAAAAGATATAATAACCATGAAAAAAAGAACAGTCTGAGATAAAGAATGACATAACACAAAAAAAGAACACATCAGAAAGAATGAATACACAGCAGATTAGGGTAAGCTGAGGACAGAATCAGTGAATTAGAAGACAGAATTGAAAATATCACTCAATCAGAGAACCAAAAATAAAAAAAATAAATAAAAAACAGGAGGACAGCTTAAGGGAGCTGTGGGACAATGTGAAACATAACAATATTAGAATAGCAGTTGTGCCAGAAGAAGCAGAAAGGGAGAAAGGTATAGAGAAGGTGTTTGAAGAAATAATGGTAGAAAACTTCCCTAACCTGGTAAAGGAAAAAGTCACACAAGTTCAGGAGACACAGAACCCCAAACAAGAATAACCTAAACAGATCTACATCCAGACACATCATAATTAAAATGCCAAAAATTATAGACTTTTCTCTTAAACGCAACAAAGAGAAAAACCAACTACAACGAAGCTCCCATAAGGCTGACACCTGATTCCTCATCAGAAACTCTACAGGCCAGAAGAGAATGACATGAAGTAATCAAGGTAATGAAAAGAAAGGGTATGAGACCAAGATTACTATATCCAGCAAAGCCATCATTCAAAATAGATGGTTAAATAAAGAGCTTCCCAAACAAAAAAGGCTAAAGGAGTTCATTACCACCAAGCCTGCATTACCAGAAATGCTAAAGGGATTGCTGTAAAGGATTGCTGAGAAGAAACAGAGAGAAACCTAGCCATACAGAGCTAAAATGGCTATAAATAAACACCTCCCAATAGTAACCCTAAATGTAAATGGATTAAAGGCTCCAATCAAGAGGTGAAGGGTAGCTGAACATGACCCAACTACAATATATGCTGTCTACAAGAGATCCACCTCAGAACAAAAGACACACACTGGATGAAAGTGAAAGGATGGAAAAAATTTTTCCATACAAATGGAAAAGAGAAAAAAGCTGGAGTAGCAATACTCGTATCCGACAAAATAGACTAAAAACATCATGCTAAGCGAAATAAGCAAGTCAGAGAAAAGATAAATATCCTACGATCTTGCTCATTTGTGGAATATAATGAACAACATAAAATGATGAACAAAAATAGAGCCAGAGGGGAGAAATATTCTAGAACATAATATTGATAGAAGTAATCCTGTTATTTGCAGATTTGTAATATTTCCTACAACTTTTGTGATATAATTTTATGTTAGTACAGTTTTGGTAATATTTTACTAGAATCCTTTTATTCTTGAAATAATGATGTTTATTGCATGTAATATTATATATGACGTCATTTTTCTTTTTCTTTTTTTTCCGTTAGGCCACGCGGTCCTCGTGTGGAGACAGCGAGCAGTATCTTATTCAGGTGTAACCTCCTCGCTGGTGGCAGCGGCGGCTCAGGCGACTAGGGCCGGTGCTGGGCTTCAGGATGAATGAAAGGCGGAACCAGGATGCAGTCCATGCAGCCGACGTCTGTGCGGTGCGTCCTTTTCACCCTAAAGAAGCATCGCCGCAGAGCTCCACCTTTAAGGGCATGTGCGGTGCAGCGGGTAAACTGCCTGACTCTGGCTCAGAAGGTGGAAGGTTCTAGTCCTCTCTTAAGGAGAGGTCAGAACACTGTTAAACTTCAAACGTGAACCTATTCCCTCGAACCTCTGCAGTCTTCCACCCACTCTCGGTTCTTGAAGTCATTTTTCTTGAATAATTGGTGTTTACTGCATGTAACATTATCATGTTTAAAATCATTTTTCTTGCCAAAAAAAATCAAAGAATCAAAAAGAAACAATAAAAAAATAAGAGGACAGCTTAAGGGAGGTGAAGAACAATAAGAACATAACGACATTAGAATAGCAGGTGTGCCAGAAGAGGCAGAAAGGGATAGATAAGAAATAATGGCAGAAAACTTCCCTAACCTGGTAAAGGAAAAAGTCACATAAGTTCAGGAGGCACAGAGAACCCCAAGCAAGTAAAACCAAATAGGACCATACCCAGACACATCATAATTAAAATACAAGGAGTGGCCAGATTATTATGACCACCTGACATTGTAGGCAACTTAGCCATACACTGCATCATATGGGATATGGAAGCTGAAGGCCTGTTCGAACACCTTTGTTGTCTGCAGTCACCAAGATAAAATGTCTCCAATTTGCACAGGAACACAAGGATTGGACAGTTGAGCATTGGAAAAAAGTCATGTGGTCCGATGAATCACATTTTCAGTTGCATCATGCAAATGGCAGAGAATTTCACAGAAAAAGCATGAAAGCGTGCAACCCACATGATGAGTACAACTCTTCAAGCTGGGAGGGACAGTGTTATGATTTGGGGCATGTTTTCCTGGCATGATTTGGGCCCTTTAATTTGTGTGGAACAACGTCAGAATAGCATAACATAGCTAAGTACCATTGCTGATCAAGTTCACCCTAACATGTTGATGGTGTATCCCCAATGGAAATAAATGGCTTCTTCCAACAAGACAATGCGCCATGCCACTGTGCTCATACTGTGCAGGAGTGGTTTCAAGAACACAAGTGAGACTTTACCTTGCTTAGGTGGCCCCCACAATCACCAGATCTCAATCCAATTGAGCATTTGTGGGACAAAGTTAAAAGAGCCATCAGGCAGCTGGTTCCACAACCATCAAATCTCACAGAACCAGACAGTGCTATTCATCAGGCATGGTGTCAGATTCCCTGCATCACTTTTCAACATCTCATGGAGTCAATGCCAAGAAGAATCACCACAGTACTGAAGGCAAAAGGTGGCCCAATGAAGTACTGATGGGGTGGGCATAATTATCTGGCCACTCAGTGTATATGAACCAGTGTATATGAACCTGGTTGCGAGGGGGAGTGGGGGGTGGTGTCAATTCCCAGTAGGGGGCATGCAGGAGGCAACTAAACAATGATTCTCTCTCATCACTGATATTTCTTATTTTTCAAAATATATTTTAAAAAATAAGAAATATTTTCTGTACACACATCCCATTGGGGATTGAGCCTGCACCCAGGGCATGTGCCCTTGACCATAATCAAACACAGGATCCTTAAGTCTGCATGCCTACGCTCCATCCACTGAACCAAACCAGCA